ATTTTATTTATAGCTGCGAGAAAAGGGACTGGGAAAAGAGAAAAATAATTAGGCGCTCATGAAATAGCGCCAAATAGGTACCGTACTCTAAAAACAATGTGCATAGAAATTTAAATGACTATATGTCAAGGAACCTTTAATTATTATTAAAAAATAAAAATAAAGAACAATTCGCATATGGTTTGATAAATTATTAAAAGCACTCAGTTAATCAGTTACATAATATTATTATACAAGCATACAGAATACATGGGCGTGCGCATACCGACACTTTAGATAAGTAGCCTACAGTATTTTTGGGCCCCCTTCCTACCAAATAATGTTAAAAAACTATTATTACATAATACAATAACTTTTTTTTTGAATTACTACAACAAACTACATTTGTTATTCTTTGTTTGAAATTCAAATTTCTAATCTTATCCAAATTATAACTTCAAATATCCATACAAAAATTGTACGTATAAACATTTTTAGATTTTTGGTTTTAGAATCAGCTATTACTTATGAAAAATCTTGTATTCAACTTTCAAGCTTTTTGATCAAGCAAAAAATATTTATTAACATTTATAGAAATTTTAAAATGTCCATAGTAATTTATTATATAGCTCTAAAAAAGCTCAATATTTTTTGAAAATTATACCATTATACCTATGTAAAGAATATCAAAAACTGATTTTATGTAAAATCTCAGTAATGATACTCTTGCAGAGTAGATTAAGCCAAAAGGAAGAAGAAGAAAAAGAAGAATCCCATGTTCTAGAAAATGTTAGATTTTATCAAGAAATGACAGATGAAGACGGGTCCAATTAAAAAAAACTACAGATGTCGACTTTAGTGAAAACCTGTAAATCTACTGATCGGTGGACAATCGCCGTTACAATACCTATACACGAAATATTATATTATGTTCACCACATCATAATTTTCGTTTGCTCCTCACTTTCATAATCAACTAAGTACCTAACTAAAAGTGTTGTATATATCAACACCTTATACATTTATAGAATTATCATGAAATAAATGTCGTTTGACCACTATATACACGGAACTCGCTCCCCCCCCCCACATCCATACATATATAAGTACTATATCGCTTAGACCGTATTGTAGCTTAGTCAGCCCCTTTTGCCTTGAAACCATTGACGTTTGAATATATGTCTTATGTCAGATGTGGTTTTTGAGAGTTCAGACTACAAAGAAACTAAAAAACGAATTTCTTGCGTTTAGCAACATAATGTCATATTATCACATTATCTATATTAAACTATAGGGAAATTATATTATATGACCTGATCCAAACGCTGCAGCTTTATAGCTGGCCGCAACCAACTGGTCTGGTTGATTGGCCGAGCGTGTCGAGTTGTATAAACATTTTTGTGTTTTAGTTTTATTCGTATACATTGAATATTTTTATATTTTACCAAAATTAGTTTAAAATAGATATGTAATTATATATAATTTATTTATTTCGTCAGGTTAGTCATTTAGTTACAATTTATATTAATTCTAATTGAAAGTTTGATTTTGCATCATATCATATTTTTCCTTTTACCTAATTATATGTACCGGACTTTTTCACCACACACTTTCTTATTCGGACTTTCTTACCTCTGACTTTTTGGTAGTATACTGTTGTCTCCTCCACAAGCTTTTCTTTTTGGAGACATCATAATAAATTGTAAATTCATATATCGTTATATTTATTTATGTATATTTGTGCAATAAAATAACATAAATTGTATTGTTTTTATTATTTGTATTATTATACACCGTGTAAAGTGTCATACTTACCAAAACTATTTGATATCATTGTCATTTAAGACGCTTCCGTTGACTATAAATATATAATAGTAAACTTCACAACCACGTCGATCCATAAAACATTTAAATCGCTTTGGACCTCGTCTATTATAAAAAATATAATAAATTATAGATCATTCTCTCAATGTTGGTTGAATTTGATAACACCGAAAAACGTGTCGTATAATGTATATATAGCCATGATCTAAAATATCCGACAAAAACTAATCGCGATAATCGGTATTATTATTGTTGTTATTATCATTATACATTATTTATATTAATGAAAATGTCATCCGTGACTAGAAATCTCTCAACAGTAGAGTAATAATAAATAAAAGTAGGTAAATATACGAATTGATACATTTTCCGGGTTATTATCGCTTGTTTCTGGAGGAAAATAATCATGTCGACATTATAAAATATATTATAATATTATGATGCTTATTATGATACCAATATTATTTATATACCTGTATTGTGTGAGAAGAAATAGGTGCTCTGAGATTTTTAAGCGAAGTCTATTAGTACAAACACTAAAAACCAAATCGTTTCTCCTGTTTATAATATTATTATAAGTATATACGTTTTTACACCTCAAAACGTTTTCCATTGCATTTTTCCGAGGCAATATTATAAATATAATGTTTTGAGTAAACACACATATGTAGTATAATACATACTATATTGTTTCCATGTCTATTATAGATGCCTCTGCATCTGGTCTCTCTATCTCTCCCTCTTGCTTCTAGGAAATTATAACATTTTTTCATGAATCACTCATCGATAAAAATACTCAATAATTTAATGTTATCAATATCAGGAGGTTCTTGAAAATTGATAATGGTACCGTTGTTTTGCAGCAAAATACGTCATATTACAATGTTGTATAATATATGATTTGAAAAATATATTAGGTATTCAATATATTTTTTGTCCATAAAATCCTTAAATTCAAATTCCAGAGTAAAGCTTAGACTAAACTTAATTTTGTACAATAAAATAATTTGTAAGATATTTAAATGTTATCCAAATACTATGATACATATTGATATTGCATTAACATTGTATAAATAAATAATTTTTTTTCGTAAATGTGTTCTTTAAATCAGACCGGGTTGCTCAACATATTAACAACCAATAATTAATCGTACATAATTAATATTTTAATTTAGGTTTTTAATTTATTTTTAACGTAGGTAAAAAAATTGTATCTAATCTAAAATGATTATGGATGAATTTAGTTGAACAAAATCTCTGTTGATCATCACAGTACCATCCGGAAAAGTTTAGAGTTGGAATCTCGTGGTTTTTAACAATGTACAATACCAGTAGGGTGTAAAATAGAAGACAGTTGCAAACTATAGAGAATTGTCTGAGAGAAATTGTTCGTGGTCGGGTTTGGCAAATAATAAGTCGATAACACATGCACATAAAATAAATAATAATAGGTTAAAAGGAGAACAAATACACGAAAAACTTTTTATTAATTTTTTTTTTAATATCGTCTCGCGTTCTGCAAGCCCTTTCGTAATACGTCTCGTTCCCATTGGACGACACGTGAAACGCGTCACCCGATTTCAGTTCGATATGCCAAGTAGTCCGTAAAATCCGTTTTGTTTTTTCGATCGTTTTTTTTCCACGTCCGCGTAAATCCGAGTCGATTGCATAACGGAAACGGCTATATGTAGGATTTCTCAATGCGGGTTATAAAACCGATCAATATAATATATAACATAATATTATTATATATTATATCTACTATTATACTACACCACTGTTACACTAACCGACGGTTATATTGTTATTATGTATAATAAATATAAATATATTCATCACGGAGAATATTATACATTTTTGTTACATTATAATAATACACGTATAATACACATATGTATACACGCATGACGCTGTATCGTTACGAGATGACGTGTGTCGACATCGAAATGTAATATCATTGTGGAGGCACGCTGACAATATTATGAATGTTGTCAAAACGAATGAAGGTGTGTGTGTGTGTGTGTGTGTGTATGCGTCGCTTTAAAAATAAACAATTATTATAATAATTCATTTCGATTTTATTATTTTTCCGTAACGTCCACCATTACCTGCCGACTAAACGAAGTTATTAACATGCCACACACACAATATACTGAGTAGCTGGGCAGTTAATATAATATTATATTACGCATGGTGTACATGACTAGCCAGATTGTTACAGTTTGTCGCGATGATATTGACCGCAATCCGCTTCCAATTTTATCAGCAACGCAATAGCGGAAAGCGTCTAGAAGAGTTTAGTTGAATTTTATATTGTTATCAGCCACGCACTGGAGTACTGAACCACTCATTCATATTTCGATGTATACGATGAATATATAAAACATACATAAAACTTTATACTTCATGCAATTTACAAATCATCTGCTCAACGATTAACGGTAAAAAAGGTGGTTCTTGTTTGAAGAAAATACATTTTTTCATTGTATCGCCACAGTGCCGACGTTAACAAAATGGTAGAAAAGAATCCATGTCATGAAAAAATGGTCTTTTAGTTTATCTCATTAAATCACATAGTACCTATAAATACATAAATTTAGTGAACAATTGCAGGGTAAGCATGCTTGATGAGTCACTCTGGACTCTGGTAAACCATACCTAAAAACCGCGGGATCTGATATCGTGTTTCCCATTTTCCTATGCTAAATTGTTAATGTTAACATAATAGGAAAAGGGGAAAACACTGTGACCCACCTTGTGCATTTTAAGTTGTAACAAACTATACGATGACTGTTCAATACTATGAATTTTCCACAATCAACATCTTCTGCAATGAAATACTTGCGTTGCTTACAGAGCATACGACTACATGCATCAATGTATCGTGATAACTCATAGCATTATGATATATAATAATATACGTTTGTTATTTTGTATACATTATAAAGGTGACTAGGTGAGTATATGCATTTAAAAAAATAATTGATAATTTCCTATTTATAAATATTATTATAGTATAAGTAAGATCGTTGAACAGTAAAAAAATAATTATATATATATATATTATATGTATATTTATATTTATCGATATGTCATTTGTTCCGAAAGTATTGTTTTTTACTTCTTTCATGGCCCACGATGGCCTATTGGCTATTGAGATACCAAAGTTAATTAAGATAACATGTACAACAATCGTAGCTTCGGCCTTAACATTGTGTATTAGTAATTAATATAACAATAACATACTCATTATGACATGTCTTAGGCTACAAATATATAGACAATGTTAAAGATTAAAGACAATATCCGCGTTATTAAGAATTCAGGAATCCTTAAGAATAAATATTATTTAAATAGCAAACATGATTTAGATAATACTCTATTATCTTTCATGTTATCGAATTATAATAATTATTGTTTAAATGTCAATTCAGTATGGTAACTATTTCATAACCGTTTTCACTATGATTATAATATTTATAACACAAGTATAAATGTTTACCTCCTAAGATTATATAGATCAAAATATTGGTGAACTTTGAACTATCCAATATAGGTACTTACGTAATTTGATTAATCGAGAAAGAAACAATAAACATTATAATATAAGAACAATTAATGTACTTTGAACACAGTCGTAAAAAATAAATAAAATTAGGTAGTAATAATATAGTATAAAACATGTACAATACAGATTTAAACAGTTAAATTATTTCGAAAATGACTGTTAATAAGACTAGATATACATTCAACTCGAATGTTTACATCGGGTGATTCACTTAAAGCGCTTTTGAAGTTTCCTTACATTTTTCAGTAGCTTTTTCCAAAGCGTCAATGATTGTATACCTTAGGCCACCATGTTCCAGAGCACAAAGACCGGCCGCTGTAGAACCTGTATATAAATGTATAGTGGAAGCATTTTAATAAAAGTCACTGTAAATATTGGTTCTAACATTTAAAGTTAATAAATAGCTAAAATGCACCGAGGGCACCTGATTTTTAATTTGTTCTTCGTATTGGTTCCGTAGAGATAGATTAACTTGTTCCTCACTTAAATTTCATTTAGTATTTTTCTATTAAGTTATTTGATTATATTACTACAGTTCAAAAGATTCAAAATAAAATTATGTAAAATTATAAAGGAACCTTAACACCAAAAAAATATTATAATATTGTTCCTAGTAACTATTATTATTATTGTTTTATTGAGCATAGGTGCCTAACTCATATCTTTAAAACCTAAAATCCCATTTCCCTTTTCTCCTCAATAAAGACACGTGAAAAAATTATTTTACTTTAGGTTTAAACGGAAAAAATAAATGTGTTATTCGCCATCATTGCATTTTTGAAGTAAATATAAGGGTATATTAAAACAAAATTGCGAGACGTTAAAATTTACATCAAACGCAGAAATAAAATATAATCGATCATTATGTAAATCAGTTCTTGTACGCTGTATAGCTGAAACAAAGCAGATATATGTAGGTATCTACAATAATTGAATTTTCCATTATAAAACTTTCAGAATGATACGTTTATGATAAACCCTATTCGACTATCCTTATTTCCTATACTTTCTAAAAAAATGACAGTAAATGCGTGTCAAAACCGTGTATTTATCGTGTGTCTGGAAGTTATATAACTTCTGACACGAAATATTTGGTGATATAATATGCTTTTATAGTTTTATGGTAGCAGACACCAACTAAGCTACATTATAGGTACACATATCTAATGTACCTACTTATAAGTAGGCATATCATTTCACACTGTCGGAATAATGGAATACTATTTAATAATAATATAGATCATAAACAGGGTGTTTTCACGATATTGTCCTCAAAATCAGTTTTCGATATCCTACTGTAATACGAGATACTCGTATCTATATATAGTCTATTGTTTCTGCCTTTAAGTCTAAACTTAAAAATGTTTGTGAAAAAAATTGATGCGATACAACGTTTAATAATTATTGTGCGATTTTTAAATCGTCCAGAAAACTTGCTGCTCTCTTGAAATAACGATTATTGCCTGTTAACAGAATCGTATTGCGTATGTACAACCCAACTCACCCGCTGGCGAGGTTACATCATCCTTGAGTTTTCCTGGATGTTCTTTCGTCTCTCGAACCATTGTCCCCGCGCCCAGGACCGTCTGCGACGCCAATCTATAGGCCATGTCTCTAGGCATTCCCATGCGAACGGCACCGTCGGCCAGAGCTTCGATAATCACGTACACCTGTATAAGTATAGTACGAGTTCGCAGGTAAATATAATATACTTTATATTAAACCACTCCAAATTTCGTTTGTCAGAGAAAAGATATTTGTTCAGTATTCAATATCACTGATATAAGTATAAACGGTGTTTAGAATAGTATTCTGTTTTCGAATTACAAAGTTCAAATGCAATATAGTTTAACTCTAAATACAATTTAAAAACCTAATTAATAAAGGACTACTTTAAAAATTCCTCAACATAAAATTTTTGTGAATTTACAAACATCCTTAGAGGAAATTAGTGTGGAGCGTTAGAAATGGATCACCCAGTATACATTATAAATATGTCTACGTTATTGAGATTTGGGGTACATATACACGTCATGATAATAGACTGTATGTAATGTTGCAGTCCATTGTCAATGCGAAAGAATCACGAATCATTTGCTACCTACCATATTAAAATCACATAATATGAATATAGTGACAGCTATTATACGTTGTATTCGTAAAAAAATAATAACAATGTAGGAACCCGATACTCGCTGAAATCGTTGGTACTTTTATTATTACAAAAACATATATATTTTTTTTTTTAATAAACGATTTTAATTGCATTTTAACTGCGAATATTATAGCACGTGGCTGCACTATTATTTAAAAAATTATAATAATATACTTGACGCTTCGGAGCAGTGTCAAACAAATAATAAAGAATTTCAATTTTGTTCATAAAACGATGAGCAGGATAAAATAACATAATTTTTCCGTATTTGATTTTAAAAAAATAATTAGCTCGAGTTTTTAAACATTTAAAATGTATTCTAAAATATATAAGTGAAGGAAAAAAACGGTATATTATTATTATTATAAATAGACATTAAATAACTATATGACAATAGCATGAACACGATTTCACGTATGTCAAATACTTAAATAAGTAAATGTTTCATTTGCGATATAATGACGTTTAAAATGTAGTATTGATGATATTATTGTTAAAATATTCGAATATCATGCTGAGCTTATCACAAACAATGATTTTATTCCTTTGTTTTTTTCCCTATACTTATTACTTACATCGTAAAATTAAAATTATAATCATCATATGTATAATATTATGTTTGCTTGCATGTTGTGTGGACATGAATATCAAAAATTAGTTATACTTTTAGAATTCATTATGGTCACAATAATTTTATAAATGTCTAAAAACGTTAAAATATTATTTTAAAATTTGAAGTCAAATAATTGACATGTCATAAGAATGGCGACTGATACGTTTTACAGAAAATATATCATTATTATACACCTTAAACGAGTTACAGAGCAATGAACACACATAGTTCACGAATGAACTGACCAGTAATTTAATAAACTAATGTTAGAATGAGGATGAATATAAACATAGGTACATGGAATATTATTAAATCATAATATGTCAGTATAAAACTTTTTCCTAGGTACAAAGGAGTACAATACATAATATGTTCAGCATATTTTCATAATATAAGCTCCTGCTCTAACCAATTCGCAGGCCACATACACAACTACTACCTACACAACTGTTTGATTCACTTCTCGGAAATCGATACAACATATATATCTACTTCAAATAATTACAACTATCAATTTTCAGAAATCATTTTATCACAAAATTAAAATAATGGGTGTACCTACGATATTACAATAGTACGAAGATGTAAGATATGTAATGGGAGGATTAATGGTTTGAACTACTGTGGAAAATGTTTTTTTCGTATTCTCCGGATATATCCTGCACATATATACAGATTCACATAGTGTATAGAATTTAGACTCACGTATGCCGGACCGGAACCGCTGAGCGCAGTGATCGGATCCATCAAGTACTCTTGTACGCGCTCCGCCGTGCCCACAGATGACAAAAGTTTTGCCGTCAGCTTCTCGTCTTCGTCCGTCGCCCGTTTTCCCGGCACGTACACGGAAGCACCGCACTGAACCAAAGCAGGAGTGTTAGGCATCACTCGCATTACCCTTGAGCCGTCTGGTAAGAGCTAATAAAAAATGATAAAAATTGTTCTTTAATATTATTCAAAAAAGAAATTTTGAAAATAATATTTATATGCTAGGTACTTTGAAAAATAAACGAGTCCTTTTAATAAGCCTCACTACTAAGATCAAGTTTTGAAAGGTTTAATGTTTATCCATATAAATTATAAAATAATACCGATAGGTATTATATTACTATTGTTATCCAATGTTTAATAATAGCTTGGCTCAAAAACTCCTCTCTCACTCTCTTTCTCAAATTACAATTATAGTAACTCGAAAATATTGTCAAAAATATGACTTGGGCGATCAAAATTTCCAGGCCACTAATGTATTCCCTGCAGACTAGCTCTTCGCGGATACATAATAATATTAATTATTTATAATCACAAATCAAATCGCCGCATAATATGTAATATGTGTAGAGATAAATGATAATGTATACAACATTACATTATAACCTCAACCCAATAAAATAGTTTTCTTTTCAAACTGCTATTACATGTATTGTCATTATAGGGTGTATATAGGTACAGAAATAATTTTTAAACGAATCGTTTCTATTACACGCCGAATTCTCTCAAGCATTAAAATGTTGTATTTTGCGGTGAAATAGTATAATACGTATCTAATATGTAATAACAAGTAATATGTATAAAATAAAATTTTTTTAAGTAAAACGTATTAAAAATGAATCATATTACTTTTACTTATTAGGTACTACGCAGAAAGTAGTATATAGGTACCTAATAATTAATTTATTGTAAAATTATTTGTATTTTTTTTTTAATTGAGTACCTATACTAAGTCTCAAACAATTAAAACGAATAATTAATACTATAGGTACTTAAAATAAAGAAAACTTAACTTAATTACTCAATTCTATGATTAAGACTTATTGTAATTAGTACATTAGTACCTATAGGTGGGTACTATAATAATTTGTACCTTATACCTACAACTATTATATAGGTATCCATATTATGGATTACAAGAAAATTCATTAGCTTCTTCAATAAGCCAAATATTTGTAAATATTAATAAACAATTTTAAATATTAAAAAAGTAGTTACCCATACATCATTAATAACCCTAGGGCTATGACTTAATGCATTTGCATGTTTTGTTCGTTACTATGCATATAATGAGTACGATAAAAATTGAATTTACATTATACACATATTATACTATACAGTATACTGCAAAATAAATAGTAAATAAAAACTTCGTAGCGATTATTTTTTTTTTGTTTTATTAATTTAAAGTATTGATGGAAAATCTGCCTATCATATAAATTGGAATGTTTATCGTGACATTTTCAATTTAAAAACGAAATGTTATTTACAAAAATAAAAGTTTTTTTAAAAATATTGTTGAAAACAGCGCTTATCGACGAATAATAAACTGATAAAAATAACACGTATTACTATATTTTGTACGTGCCTACTAATGGTAGGGTTATTTCGTATTTTTAAACATAGAATAATTGTATGAATAATACTAATAAGTAATAACATCATATAAAATAAAATAGGTCCTAGGTAATAACAAACAATAACCTTGACAAATTTAACACTCACATTTATTTATATTATGATTATTTTCTTATTACAAATTTGCTAATTTTTTAATGAGTACAAAAGCATGCATATTGAACAGTTAATTAGTGCGTTAAATCCACAGCCTTGCTTATAACTATAGAATATTAAATTTCATTGACGATCCTACTGAGGACCTACGTACGTATTATTGAAATTATTTTTTTAAAATGTTCCACTTTCGTCTCGGTTCTGTAACCTAAACCTTTCGATTAACGTTATCGATTTTACACTCAATCGACCATATGACTGACGTCAATCAACTTTGTTTATAAAATAATAGACAGCAAAAACAAACACTTATAAGAAACTATAGACTATAGTAACCCACCGCCAGAAATCGAACTAAATGTTTTTTTTTTATCTTAAGTCCCCTTTCCCATATAAAATACACCTCACTTAAACTTATTTTTTTTAGATCTCAATAATATTAACAAGTTGATTTATCTAAAAACTATATATTAGCATTAAGTATTAAGAAACAATAGCATTCTGCCGTGCCCGTTAACACTATGAAAATAATAATATCGTTTATAAAAAAAAATTTGAAATTTGAAATGTTAGTATATTATTATTGTAATTATCGTTTTAATAAATTATAGATGTATGAATATTGAACAAATTGTGTTGTTTTTCATTTTTCTACCAATAGAAATTTAAACTTCGAGTGTCTATATATAAGCCCATTTAAGCCTGTAATTACGTGTCTCAATGTTATCGAAAATATAACATATCAATATACGAGTAGAACCAACAACAACAAACACTATCCTACGAGCACCACGTGCGTCGTATAGTATACTATATCACGTTTATCATTCAATTAGTCACCCTCAGTTTTATTGAATTAAATTACCCTAGTAGTCTAGTACACGTGCAAAAACAACTATATACAAGTATAGATAATAATATTTTAATTGATATCAGGACGTTATGGTTTGGACAGGCTCCCCTCCGCCAACTTTAAAATCCAACATCCGCAGTATAAGTTTATTTCGAAAAACGAATATGCAATTAACATTTATAACATAATAATAATATATGTGAGTGCTCAAGTATAGTCAGTTGCGGAATGATCGTCGAAACAACCGGCTCTGAATAGACGTCGATCATCTTCGTAGTTTCCTACGTGCAACATAGTTGACTCAGTACACCACTCGCAAGCATGTATTTAATTAAAACTTATATGCCACTTAAAAGAAATTTGACCTAGGACGACAACCAATCATAGAAGTCTTAGTCACGTTGTCGATTACAATAAATCATTGTGATTTAGGTGCATTTTAAGTACCTACCAAAATCACGCGTCGAGTCACTTATATAAGAATTGGTATATACCTAACCTATATAATATGATCGAGGTGAGATCGGAATTTCATAACACTCAGCGAACGCAATGGTTAAAAGAAAAAAAAACAGTAGAAATAATACGCACATTTTCCAACTGATTTACGGTGACACCCATGGCGACGGACAGTAACAGGTGTCTGCTGGACGTGAAATTCGGACGGATCTGGTCCAATACCGTCTTGACCACGGACGGTTTAACGGCCAGCAGTAGGACGTCGGAGTTGTCGACCACCGACCGGTTGTCGAAAGTCACTTTCGATCCGAATCCCTGTAATCGATCAATATTGAATTCGACCGGTACAGTGATTAGTATAAATATTTAAGTTACGGATACCTATAGGTATAGGTATACCAAAATCCTACGAATCTCGTTGGACTCACCTCGAAAACTTCGACGCATTGCGTGTCTTGTGGGGCGCAGCTGGCTGTGATGTTTTCACCTTTTACGAGACCTGTGTAAAAAAATATCACAACATACACATTTATAAATACGCAGGGGAAGAGTACGAAAAATAAATATAACTATCGAAAAACGCCGGGTTTCTCGAAACTCACCGGCCGTCAAGAAACCTTTGGCCAACGCTTGAGCCATTTTGCCGGCACCAAAAAATCCGATTTTCAACATATTTGCAGATAATATACCTATGTAAGACGTGTATTCAGCGACACTCGACTACTAAACGTTAACTGCGGCCTGAACGCGTGATTACGATGACGACTAAAACACCGGTGGTGCCTAAATAGTGTGTGAAATATAAATTATTATTTATTATAACCTTTGATTAGCGCAATCAGTGTATACCTATATATTATAATACAGATAGCCATGCCGTTTAAAATTTATGTTTCTTCGATAAGCACGTTTGGATAGGTAGGCACTATAAAGGCGTAAAATAATAAAATATATTATGCACGGACACGGATATATTATAATGAATGTATATATATATATACCTAATATATAGGTGCCCACCTACTTACATAAGTATGTACTACGTAGGTACATTTGTTACGATAACAACTTGCGAACGAACGTTATTTTTTTATTGTTTCAATAATAGCGTCAGATTGTGTATGTGTTTATTATGCGTGTATGTGTGCCGTGTATATGCTGTGTAATATATATAAGTTATTTATTCCTTCGTAAAATATGTATGAGGTTGCGATTACACTACTGTATCAACTATCAAGGGCCTAAACTAGACGTAGGTCGCGGATTATAAGCGCAAAAACGATGTACAATGTATACATGTACATTGTACATACAAATTAATTCAAGTGTTTTCAAGTTTCAAGTTCAAATGTTGAATATAAGTATCTTTTATTATTTGATTAGTTTATAGTGAGTTTTTTCTAAAACCGTTGTCCAAACCGTTAGATAAATATTGATTATTACATTACAGTATAGGTATTCACGATTCATCAATCATTGTGTATTAAAATAATGTGTATGCTTATACTTATTTAAAACGTATAATATTAAACTTGTGCAACGATGTTAACTATGTTTGATGTGCTAATTTATAATATTATGAAGTTCCTGACTTCTGTTGTTCATTATTCAATAAATTGTATTGACAAACCAATTCTAATTAACATTAGATACCTACCTAATGACTACTATACAATATGTATTATATTGGACTCGTATAGTATAATTAATAATTATACAACAACCAACAGCCAGTATTGGTAAATAGTACTATTATAATTTATAATAGATTATAATAATATAGTTTAAATAATTGGTTGGTAATCTTCGATTATCTAAGTTTACAGACATAATAATGTGACCCATTGGCCGTTGGCCATCATTTAGCGTAAAATGTTGAGCAAATAAGATTAATGAATTTTAAATTGATCCACCGAAAAAATAAAACAATTATATTGCTTAAATGCGCGCTAGCCATCTACAAATTCGACTTCAAAGAGAAGTTCGATAGTAGTACCTGTATATTTGTATGTTCATTGTTCACAGTACGTTCGTTTTTTCAAAGCGGTAATTAAACCATGTCCAATAAGTAGAAATTCTCACCTCAGGCTCTTTACTTTATTGCACATCCTGGAGAATACCTACATAATCGTTGTCCACTTATTTGCGCTCACACAAAAATATTTACGGTACTACATTTTATAGGGAGAATCACAATTTTTGTCCACAGTTTCGTCGCTTAACCAAAATATTTTCAGTATTTTAAAATTACCGGGAGAATTCACACTCAAAAAGGGATTTACCACTTACTCGAAAATGTTTATCGTAAACATATAATTTTTTTTATTTGTAAACTCTAGATTTTTTCACCAAACGTCCAAACCTTACTATAAAACTGAAATAATATTAACTGTATTTACATTTCATTCATGTTAGTTACACTGTAATTTTTTTTTACATTTAAGATTAGTAAAAAATAATACAGAAAAAAAAGTACGAGCGTACAGTGAACATTCAACTACAAACCTACTACTTACGATCGTCGTTGACCGCGTTATATTGAGCAAACCACACGTAAATACGTAATCGTGTAATACTATGTACAAAATTAAATTCAAAACCAATTGTTCTCCCTACAAAAAGCTAATGGCCATAGTTAACCGGCTTTAACTCAATAAAAATTAAATTAAATTAACTTCGAGAAAATACTTGCATTGTAATATGCTTGCAGCAACTAGCTATAGGTACTAGTAACTATATAGCTAACTGATTCTACGTGGCGATTTCTCGTGACACATTAAATGCCCGTGAATTTACCCCTTCTCAAAATTCTGTTGAATGTATAAGCTGCACAGATTTTCAACACAATTATTTTGACCAAAAATTTATAAAATTTAAGTCTATAATTATATCCAATCATAATAATTATTTTATTTTATGTAACCAATGGCAATAATTTATATAAATAAAAATTGATAGTTTTTTGTAGTCAAATACCAATATTTATCACCATTTATGTTTTGAAAAGTAAAATGTAAATAGGTAATGAAAAGTAGCCTATGACACTACTAAGGATTATGCTGACTCTATATTGACGAACATTTTATGAAAATCGGTCGAAAACTGTGAATTTGCATATGAGTAATCCGCTTTAAGCCTTTAATTTCATATAGATTATATATACATACTTCTGATAGATATATTTAATAACCATAGATGATCCGGCATGGCATTGACGGTGACAAAATTAAATAATGCTAGTGGATTTACCCAGTCTTAAACTCCGTTAATGTAAACTACACATATTTTTAACAGTCATTTTTGTGATATTGACCAAATATAAAATACAGGCTCATCATATTAAAACAAAAATAATAATAGTTTTTTACTTTTATGTGACCCAACAAATCTCTGTGTAAGCCTCTCTTTAAAATACAAAATTTAATAAATATCGTTTTCAATGTGCACATTCCTTAGGTATAAAATCACCTATGTAGGTACCAAATTACAGAACCATGAGTGGCGAGTGCCATAAATTTGGTTATGCACAAACACACACACACACACACACACACACATATACAATGTATATAATGTATATTACATATACACATACAGAAACTTTGCCTTTTATTTATGTAGATTTAAAAACAGGTAACAATGATTATTCAGTATTATATAAGTAAAAAAAATCAATGATTCATGTTCAAGGACATTTATTTCGGCCCTGTTCATTATCCCTTTCCTATCATATCTCACTCTATCTAACTACCACTGGTGAGGTCTGCTTGGTCGCTTTTAAAATTCCGGTCAGGAGTTCAGGACATTTCGTAAAAGACATCCACCCGTCTACACAAATATTGCCAGACACTCAAATAGTTTTACTTTTGGGAACATTCTGATATTTATCTTGTTGTACAACCTCTCCAAATCAGTGTTTTGTACCTCTCATATTCCTCATTTTAATTTTGCACAGTCCCACAGACCCATTCGCATAATACCACGCTTTAATCTCAGAAACTATAGGTACTTGACTGATTTCATTAAAATGTATATCAAATATCAATATATTTCTTGAGACTCGGAGGGTGTTTTTAGTTTCTCTTATGCCACCTTAACAACTATTTGATTCGCATTCGGCGTACGATGATATATCAACGTCTAATGTATACGTATCTAAATATATAATATATTGCTATTTATTCGTAATTATTCAATTCATGAAATTCACTCCACTCATCAATCTAAACGCAGGAACACCATATTTGGCTGAAGCAGGGTGACTTATTAGTAAGTTTTTGTTGCGTCTTATTGGCCTGCCTTAAATTATAAAAACGCAATGGCATAAAAGACAATTTTACACAGCTAAAACTATTTTTAAAAACGCAACAATTATTGTTTTTTATTTTTATCAATAATTTATCTCTGAAATATTCTGAAGCTAAATATGAAACTTCTAATACATATTAATTAATAAACACCCGTCTTATAAAACTGTTAAAACATAACTACCTATACCTAAATAAAACATTTACGAATTAATGACATACCAACAACTAAAATTATAGTAATAAAAAAACAAATATCATATCACATTTATTTATTCTGTGATACTGTTAAAATATGATCACAACCTTTCTTAGTTGATAGTTTCTTATATAAACTACTAAATTACAAAAAATTATGAAAAGAAAAATAAACTCTAAAAAGTAGAACAAAAATTACTTATACTGTGTACTGTCCTTTAACCTTAAATATTTATTATGAGTAAGTGCAGTATAATAGGTTGTACCTTACAGTTAGTATCTACTTTAGATTACAATTTACAGGAATTATCACGAAAAAGTAAACCTCTTTTATTTATTTTTATATATTTTAAATACAAATTTTCTGTATCTAGGCTATAACATCATATTAAATAATATTAAAAACGATAGGTAATGTTTGACATAAAATAAATTATCTCCATATGTGTTCTCGATGTTTTTATTATTGTTTATCTTTTATACCGAGGGTTAAGGGAGTACGAGAACAAGAATCCCACAAAAATAAAGATTTAATTACGGTACCTATTAAAATACTTTTGAAAAGTATAAGGCACATTTAAAATACTAGTAAACGTGTTTAATGATTACCGTAATTAAATTTTAAGTACTTTAAAATTTGTTAGAAGACTGCAGATAGCGTCAAATATGTGAAATGTGAATATGATAAATGGATTAACTACTACATGCAGTAAATGTGTATTAAATTATAATTAAAAGTACAGTACATTTATTATAATATAATTCAATTATTATTGCTACAAATATTAAATCGTTAGTATTTGTATTATTTAAATTGTAGAATTTTCTTTTGACAAATTCGGGTATACTTAAAGAAGAAGATTCATTTATAAGAATTCTTTTTTCGACTTTTTAGAAATTAAAGACTAAATAGTTAATATTCAGTAGGTAGAATAATTTATTAAATAAGTTAACAATGAAACAACCTATGCAATATGTTTATATATGGTGTGTACTAGCATCATTAGATCAAACAGTTGACAAGCGGACAGAACATGGTGACTATTGTTGTATATTTGAAGATTTTTATTGAAAATACTAGTACATTGCACAACAAAAACTGAAGCAAGGTTTTATACCAATTTTTCATTGCATATTTCGTGGTTTTTTTTTATCAAATTAATAGTTTTTAAAATAAGACATAAGGATTTTCAATCATATTATATTTATTCATGCCAACAAACTAACAACATGCTAACAAAGGTAGTACATTTCATACTTCATAGCTGTGAATTTATTGGTATTGGAATCCAAGTAGTTCAAAATATTTATGTTTAAATGATTAAAAAAATACTAGAATTTACAAATATTCAAATAGTTTAATATAAGTAACAACAAAATGTAGACAACCAACATCCATTTATAACAAAAATCATACTTATTACTCTTTAAACAGTATAAAAGAACCACTCATCA